CTTTCAGCTTGACCTTACCTTGGTTCCCAACCTCCACACATGCACCCAAAACCAGAAGCTAGCCTCCCTAGAGCTTGAGCCCTTCACCCTTACCTAGCTCCCAAAGGGTTAGAACACATGCACGCTCACACACTCTCCAAACATCTTATAAAATCCCCACCCATCAAAAAACACAAAAAAGCAAAAAAATAAAAACAAAAACAAAAAAAAATCCACAAAAAACAATCCTCCCTATAGGGAGGAACCCAATGCTAAAGAAGTACCTGTAAAAGAAAAAACAATATCAGTTTTAGTTTTATAAAAGAAAAAAAAAGATAAAAACTTTGAGCCTCGATCTGTTTCCGGTGAAAAGAAGGCTAGATTCGAAAAGAAGAAGTTGAAAGAAATATTTTGAGATTTTTTCGACGTTTTTTAACCACTAACGGCAACCACCGGCGACGATCAGCATGGCCACAGGCACGGCGATATAGGTGAAGGATGCTCGAAAGTTGATGGAGCCTTGGGAGCTCTCCCAAGAACTTTGAATTTTTTTCTAGCAGAAAGAATAGAATGAATTAAAAAAATAATTTTATATAGAAAGCTAAAGTCCAAAACAACATCGTTTTGGACTAGAAGGATCCGTACGTGGACCCGAATTCGACCCGAGATTAACATAACCCAACCTGTTATCGTTTTCTACCTCAACCTAAAATCGACCCAGTTGAACCGGTATTGAACCGCTAGTGAACTGGTTTAGACTGGTCAGAACTGTCAGACTGCCGAGCGACCCAGATCAGTGTTGACCGGTCCAGTTCAAGGTTTTTTTTTTTGAAATTTTTGATTTTTTTATATGTTATTATTTTTGTTATTTTGAGTTTTATTTTTAATATTCATGGATGATAATTTTTTTAAAATTTGTTAAAATAAATATTTAATTTTTTTAATAATAATAAAATGAAAAAAAGTAGGATAATAAAAAAAAACTAAAAAATGCTTAAAATAATAATAATAATCTGAAAAAATAATAAGAATTGAATTAATAATATATATTTTTTATTTTTCCTGCCAAATGTTGGAGAGAATAAAAACGTCAAACCTTAAAATATAATTATGCCTAGATGTTGAAGAATTATAAAAAAAGAATAATAATTAATAATAATAATAATAAATTTTCATAAAAAGAAATATATGAAAAATTTTAATTAATTTTTAAAAATCATAAAAATCGAACTTGTTTCGAAAGTCCATTTAAATATTAGGGATTTTTACAAATGTTTACGTTTTTAAAATATTAAAAAATCTAAACCCCAAAATCCAAACCTTAAACCCCAAACCTAACCCTAAAATTTAAAATCTCAAACCCTAAAATCCAAAACCTAAAAATCCAAATTTCTAAAAACCCCTAAAATCCAAAATCCAAAACCTAAAAATCCAAAAGTCTAAAGACCCAAATTTGATACGCCTTTTCGAATCTTCAAAATCTTGGAGCCCTAGCCTTTAAAACCTTGGCTTAAGCTCTAACCAAAACCATATTAAAATCCTAAGGATACTTATGAAAATTTCACTTGAAATAATTTGTTCTCAAATGTCGCATAGACGATGGGGTGTTTAAAAAATTTTATTTCATTAAGTTTTTATGCAAGTCCTTAATTCGCTTTAATAATAGGATTAATAATAAAAATATACTAATAACATTGGATCTTAAATATAAATAGTCGTACCTAAGCTCTACCTAGATATTGGAGAGTCAAGGTAGTCTCATAATATTTAAGAATCCATTTTTTTAAATTACATTTCACCATCATGCATAACATTTGTTGGCATACGCATATCTATTTGCTATTGTTTGCATTTGATTCGCGTATTTATGTTTTAATTTTTGTTCACTACCTGATAATTCCATCATTTATTTTTTCGCACAATTTTTTTTTTACTTTAAAACATGAATTTATAAAATAAAAAAATAATATTTCGAAGGAAATAATTACTGGTACTCTACCTAGATGTTGTAGAGTCACCAGTAATTATATTCTACAAAAAGTGTTTTTTATTTTATTTTAAGGAGCATTGTGTTAAATCTTAAGCGAAAAAAGTTATTCTAAATTCTGTCTAGATGTTGAAGAATTCTAAGATAACTCTTCAACTTAAATATTTCTTCAATACTCTTAAATAAAGAGTTTTAGCAAAAATTTATTTTTTAAAAAATAAACAAAAAGGAATTATTATTAAATTTCAAAACAAAACAATTTCATCCAACACCGAAAAACGCTGACTTAAAACTGGTACCATTTATGGTGTTTGTGGAGGGTGTTAATCCTTCCTCACACGTAACCGACTTCCGAACTCAAGATCTATTTTCATAGACAAAAATTTATTTTTTTGATAAACTTTAAACTCGTTTTTATAGTTTTATTAAAAAGATAAATTTTTGGGTGACCAATCACATCCTAAAAAAGATTGGTAGTGACTCTCTCGATTTTTCAATTTTTAAAATCTTTTACGTCTGATGATTCTAAAACCATTACGACAGATACATACACATATAAATATATATATTTAATAAAATTTTTCATATAAAATTCTTAAATATAGATATAATATGTGAAAGAATAAAAATAAATATTTTTTGTTTTATTGTTTACTTTCATTTGTTATTCATTATAATGTGAAGAATAACAAATTCTTATTTTCTTAGATACAATGAAAATAATATTTTTGTATACAATAAAAATAAGAATGAAAATATAAATTTATGTTAGTAAAAGATCATTTTTTTATTTTTATTAATTCACACTTTATATATTATCTATATAAATTTTAAAGCTTCTTTATTTGTTTTTCTTAAAAATTTTATATATTATAGTGAAATTGTTTATCACTCAAAGTATAAATGTTCAATTATTAGATTAACAATAAAAAATTTTCTTTGATGATTTTTTAATTTAATGGAGACAAATATGATAAAAAAATTTTAATGAAGGCAAAGCTTGAATTTATTTTTATAATAAATCTAAAAAATTTTAGTATGTAAATCCGTCTCTGGCTTTGAACATGACTGATTGTACCAGCAAATTGCGACTATTTCGGCAGAAACGGCAGCTCACCCTACACTCGACAGGGATTAATCAGTTTGGTTGATGGTCCCGCAGCAGCCTAGTCTGTGTTGGATAGATCCTTTATCATCATCGTCAATAAAGAAGTCCCATTTATTGATTTGTTTAGCGGCAACGGGAAATGCAGATTCATATTATCGTGTAAAGTGTTTATAAACATTTCAAAAATTAAAAAATAAATTTTTTTTAACATTTTAAAATTTTTAAAAATATTATTTTATTAATAAAATTAATAAATTTATCAATAAATATATATTGTAAATAAATATTTCAAAAAAAATTCTGAATATTACGATGATAAAAGATAGGGAGTTAAGTTCGAGAAAAAATTTACATAAAATTATTTAGATGAAATTTGTAATATCTTTTACTAAAAATGATTAAATAAAAATTGAAATTAAAAATTAAAATTAATAAATGAAAAGATGTCTTTATATGGATTAAGTGTGTGAAATTAAAAAAAAAATTAATAAATTTTGATATATATTTTTAAATAGATATTTTAATAAAAATATTGATAAAATTTTTAACATTAAATAAGTATCAATCAAATTTAAAATATAAATAATTTTTTATATATTATTAATTTTGACATTAAATTTTATCAATTTAAAATTTTATTAAATTATTTTTAAGAAAAAATTTTATAAGTTTTATCTAAAAAATTTCATGTAAATTTTGTTTTAAATTGGATGGATCATTGAATTTCTTCTGACTTTTGTCAAACAAAGAAAAGAAGAATTCTCTACTGTCTTACAAGCTAATGGCCATCAGCCTGAGAAACGAAGAAGCAATCGAAGAGGTCAATGAGTTGGGGTCTTAGGCGACCTGTATTTCTTATTTTGGAGATAATCAAATGCAATGTTCTTCTTCACAAAGGTCAGAGTTGCGTGTCAAATGTTTTCCAAAATGATGGATTGAAAGGGTCTAATTTTTCAAAAACATCAGCTCCATTTCAATCTTAATATTTCAGCCATATTAGTTGGCTTGTCGTATTAAAAAAGTTTTTGCCGTATCTCTTTTGGCCCCAAGATGTTCTCAAAAGTTTGACCACCTGCTCAATGTCAATGCGTCCAAGAATAACTGGTTCGTGTTGAAATTTTTTTTAAAAAAGTTACTCTAATATTATTTTAGAAATGTTACGTGCATATAAATTATACCCATAAGCACTTTTTTAATTTTAATTTTTAATTTAATTCTTATAATATCATATGTGTATGAAATTTGTGTAATTATTATGTATATATATAATTTTTTCTTATTTTATTTAAACAAAATTATATTTGTTTTCATAGCGTAAAATTTAGTTTGATTAATAAGGGATGAGTTTTCCTTTTTGTCAATCAAAATTTGGTTCTTGTGACTTGTGAGTAGTATACTAATAATAAAATCATGAATATATCAAATAAATATGAAAAAATAAGTTATAATAATAAAAATGTCATTAAATTTTATAATTTTACTTAGATAAATTTTTATATTTTTATTATATTTAATAAGTCTTTAATTTTTAATTTACACTTAAATTAATTTTCAATTTATACCCAAAATTTTTTTTAAAATTTTAATTTATACTTGTATAAACCCTTAAAATAAATTATTTTTTCATTTGAAATAAAAATTATTTGGATACAAATTAAAATATAAGAATTTATTTACATATAATAAAAATATAAAAACTTATTTAAAAAAAAGAAATAGTTTAAAAACTTTTTTAATATTTTAAAAAATACGCCTTCAAAATCGTTAAAAAAAATAAATGAAAATAAAATCTTAAAATACTCCAACATTACCAAAAATATACAATATTACCAAAAATACACTTTATCATTATAGAAAGAAAAAAAGGGAAAAATATTTAAATAGATATCAACCCCACCGAAATTATCATAAGTTCATAACCCATATCTTCATAATAAATTTTCACTGATCTTTTCCTTTCTTTCTTTCCCTTCTTTTGTTCTCCAATGGGGCGGATGACAAATCTTAGAGACTTCATCGGAATCATCAAAGACAAAGCTTCTCAAAGCAAAGCAGCTTTGCTTTCCAATCCCAAAACCTTATCCCTCCACCTAGCCTTACTAAGAGCCACGACCCACGACCCCTTCACCGCACCCGACCCAAGGCACTTGGCCGCTCTACTTTCCTTTGGCGATAGCTCACGCGCCACCGCCTCCACCGCCATCGGGGCCCTCATGGAACGCCTCCAGACCACCCGTGATGCCTCCGTTGCCATCAAATGTCTCATCACTGTTCATCACATCATTAAACGTGGCAGCTTTATTCTTCAAGATCAGCTTTCTGTTTACCCTCCCACTGGTGGCAGAAACTACCTTAAACTATCGAATTTCAGAGATAATTCGACACCATTAACGTGGGAACTTTCCTCTTGGGTTAGATGGTAAGTTTTTGTTTGTTTGTTTCTCGTACTTTGTCTCTTTTGTTCCATAAAATTTATAAGAAATATTCAAAACTAAATTTGCAGGTATGCTTTATACCTTGAAAATCTGTTGTCAAATTCAAGGGTTTTGGGGTTCTTTCTATGTTCAACTTCAAGCAGCGTCGATAAAGATAAAGAAGAAGAGAAAGTATCATTACTTACAAATAATGAATTGCTTAAAGAAATCAATTCTTTGGTGAATTTGCTCGCACAGATTTCGGAAAGGCCCAATTCTTTACATGCTAATGGCAACATATTGATGGATGAGGTTCTAGGATTGGTGGGTGAGGACTATTTGTCATCAATCAACGAGGTTTCAATCCGAATCAGTGAGCTTAGGGACAGACTGAGTTGTTTGAGCTATCTTGACTCGGTTGAGTTGGCGTGTGCGTTGAAGAGACTGGAAGATTGTAAAGAGAGATTGTTATCAATTGCGCAGAGGAAGAAAGTGTTGATTGAGACTCTTTGGGGTTCAATAAGTGAAATAAAGGAACAAGTTGGGAACATTAAAATGCACGGAGAAGAAAGAAGGTTGTTGACTATGGGGAGCAGCAACAAAGCTAGCAAGCAAGCTCGTTTTGGGGAGCGAGTTCTGAAGCATGGTGACTCAGTTAAGTTCTCTTCAGGAAGGTTTCTAAGCTTCAATATTAACTCATCTTTTCGAAGTTATGAGTCGGTTGAATCATGTGCTTGATGCATGCCTGATAAGGATTGTTAATTCTACAGTAGAGAACAATTTGAGGTTGTAATAAACCAACTTGAGATTGTGAAAAAAAAAAAAAAAAGAAACAAAGAGAGATTGCCCTTAATTTCGAAATTTTGAATTAAATAATTAGATAAATTTTGAAATTATGAACTAATTATTAAGTCAAATGTCCGAATACATCTTAATTAAATTTTTTGTCTGTCTTGATTATTGCTACGAAACTAATATGACTAGTGAATATTGGTAAAAAATGGTATTAAATTTAAGTATCGATTTCATTCTTTCTTGATGAACTCTTTCCTCATGTAAAGCTTAAGACTCTATTCTTATTGGAAATGGAGTATATGAAATTTTAATTGGTAGTGATTTTGCTCTGTGGATGAGTGAAGTTAGGACCAAAAATTCAAAGACTGTTTTATGAGCTATATATAAAAGAGAAAACAAAAGAGGAGTTAGGTTTATTTTCGCTATCAAAGACTCACTTTGTCATGAGCAAGTCTTTTAATTAACGCTAAAATGAGCAGACCGTCGATTCCTTGTCAAAGTAAATCTTTTGAATTGCTGGCATATGTTTGTCAACACAATCAACATCTCAAGCTATTCATTGCTCAGATAATTTTTTTTAGGAGATTATATTTGTGATTATAGTTTATGATCAATCCTGAAAGTGATAATTGTATAGTTAGAGTTTAAGATATCAAATTCAGAAGTTTCTAATTTGAATTCTAATGAATAAAAATTACAATCTTTTTTTTTTAATCAAGTAATGTTCTTTTAACATATGTGACATGGTTCTTAAATTTGGTATAAAATATTAATGAGCAAACTAAATAAATAAATTAGAAAATTAATCATATAATTAAACTAAATTAACATGGAATGAGAATTTTTTTTTTTTTGGGAAAAGATCGATTCAAATCATATTCTTTGAATAATAGATTATGTATGAATCAATTGAACAAAACGTTCAAGTGAATGTATTTTTAGAAACTATATCTTGTAAGCATATAAATTTAAGGAATTAAGGAATGAAGTCAAACCTACTTTCCTCGTATGAGTAACCCACTCTGATTGGATTCCCATTTGGAATAACATTTAGGCATAGGAATGGGATCCCTCATTTTCAACCATACTAATAAAAATTATGGTAAAATTACAAAAAAGGCGAAAACTAATAATTATAAAGCCATAAAGGTCCACTTAACCACTAACGATGCAGTTCGAACGTTACATTACAAATGATTTTGCCCATTTTTCTTGTGTTCTGTGCTGAGACTAACAAATCTCGCTTTCAAAAACCGAAACGAAAGTTTTGACAGTTTCAATTTGCATCGATCCTCGTTCTGAGACATTTTTCAAAAACCAAACTCTTAAACTTTTGAGGTCGGATTTGGTTAGAGAGAATTTATAAAATTTTATTTAAAATTTTAATAGTGAATATTTAATTTTTATGTTTGATTCAAGATAATTCAATTACAGGAGAAAGTAATAGATTTTTAATAATATCCAAAATTTTGAAATTATAAATATATATTTTTTTGTGATATTTTAAGATTTAAAAAAAAAAACTTTATTTTTAAATTTGATCTAAATAAAAAATTATAAAATAATCATTATTCTTTTGAAAAGTATGTATAGAAGTAATTGCAGCTTAGTTATAAGTTTGTATAGAAAAAAATATTTTTTTATAATTCAATTAAGGCGTTCTACAAGAAGAAATGCCTTAAATAATTTTTTTTATTTTTATAAATTAATTATTTAAGGTATTTTTTAACAAAAAACATTTTAAATAATTTTTTTATATTTTAGGATTTAGGGGTTAATATTTTTATAAAGGATTATTTGAGCGTTTCTATACAAAAATACATTAAATAGTCATTTTATATTTTTTTATAAAAAAATTATTTGAGGCATTTTCTGTACAAAAAACTTTAAATAATCTTTTTAGGGCTTAGGGTTTAGGATTAATATTTTTATAAAAGGATAAAATAATTATTTAAGATGTTTTTGCAAAACACCTTAAATAATACTTTTATATTTTAAAAAATAATTATTAAATGGTTCATAATATAACAAAATAAAAGAATTGTTTAAGGTATTTTTGTACAACAAAAACTTTAAATAATAATTTTATATACACATAAAAGGATTATTTAAGATATTTTTTGTATAGAAATACCTTAAATGATCATTTTATAAATAAATTAAAAAAATATTTTTAATTTTTCCTTGATATAAAAAAAGTAGCAAACACATTAATTGATCTTTTTTTCTAATAAATTTTCCAATCAATTTTTGTTACTAAAAAAAGTACCAAATGCCTCAATTGATAATATTTTATAAATAAAACAATAATCAAATAAAAATATTTGTTTTCTTTCGCTACTAAAGGCATCATTTATCGTTTTGGTATTTATTATTAATAAAATAAAATGAAAAGTTACGATCATATATGTTAAAGAGATTATGATAATTACACAAAAATTAATATATGTGAATTTCTCCTAACAAAATGAGTGAATCTGATATGCGCTGTCTTAAAAATTGAAGAAAATTCTAAGTATTACACTTTTTTAGGAATTATACCTTCTCCTAAAATTCAAAATTTTATGAACCAAATGCCTTATAAAAGAAAATTATAAATTATAAATTTTTATATAAAAAAATACTCTAAATATAAAAAATTGCAATTGAAAGTTTAAATTTATTAAAATTATTTTTTGAAATAATTTTACTAATAAATAAAATAAAATTTGAATTCAAAGTATAAGTGTTGTTTGACGGGGAAAGGTGAAAAGCAATCAAAGATTTAATTGACACATTCAACACATAAAAAACAGAACAAAAAATTTGATTAGTTTAATAATGTTGCCAATTTATGGTGAGAATGAATTTAATTAACCATCTCTCTTACTAAAACTAATTTAAAATAAAAGGAAAAAATGCTTAATCAAGTATGATACTCTTAGTTTAGTTTTAATGATTATAGTTAAAATCCTAATACGTTCAAATATAAAAAAAAAAAAAAAAAACTTAAACCAAGTAATTTAGGAAGTCATCAGTCTATACTTTGCTAGTAATATTTTTACTAGACAAATTGTGCAACTATTTGAATATAAAATAAATGCGAGAAAAGGTTTCATCACTCCACTTTTCTAGCTTTTTGCTGGAAATCCAACGGAAATGTCGACGACTGAGTGAGGGACAAAGTTCAATCTCTAAACCAATGAATCCATTGTTTAATGTTCTGCAGTCATTCAAAAAGATAATGCAGCAAAAATTTTCACTGCTCTTCATGGGAAAAACCAACACATCAATGGTGATAGTGTGATAAAAAACCAGCCCAAGAGCTTATCACAAATTTAATTAGGCCTTCAAAATTCAGAACTCGTGGCCCTGAAAATTCGAAATAGATTTCTATTTCTAACTCATTTCAATTCAGCCCACTTCTTTCCATGCAATGTAGCTCTACAACCCAAGCTCAAATCAGTAATTATAAGAAAAATACTGTTTTATGAACTATTGGAGGACTGGAGTTCAAGATTGGAATCCTACCCATATCTCCCATATTGTACCAAAGAAAAAAAAAAGTTTAATTTAATTACTCTTGACGTTGACGATTTTGACAGTAACATCGTCAAGTTTACTAACTTGATCAATATCATAGTTGAAATTGTAAATTGACGCAAAAATCCAATTTCCTTTGCTGTTAATTGGTTTTTCCATTCGATTACATAAATTCATAGAGAGGGCCGGGTGGGAAGTAACAGAGCATGAGCCCTGACGGCTGAAGCAGCAGAGAGCTTGATAAAAACCACTCCAAGCTTAAAATAAAAGAGAAACAACTGACTTCTGATTACATGCACCATCAAAGATAGCCAAGCAAAGGACAGATGCGCCTTGAGCTGGCTTTTGCAAGAACATTTGCGAAGGAAACATGAAAGCAAAAGCTGAAGTGAATGATGGTATTATCATTAATGGTGAAGTAACCCCTCTTAGCTCTGCCACATTTGTAGGCAGTCCCCCATGAACTTTAGGATTGGACAGGTGAATAGAAACACAAAGAAATGCTCCGTGGACGACCGTGGTTTTTATTGCCACAACAATTTTGCAATTTCATTCGGAAATTAAAGAAAATTACAAAGATGGTAGTACCAGCTGGAAAAGAAAAAAGAACTACAAACAAGGAACTTCAATATCAAATGGCCAATCAAAGTTTAGTAGGCCCTTGTAACTTGTAAGATGACTAAGACCATTCGGATCACTTCAAAATTAGGTAATGTTTTCTGTCATAAGATCCTTGTCTTAAACAAGATTAATATATGAGCATTCAATTACTTTGTCTCTGACCACTTCTTTACGTGCAGGCTTGCTTTCGCAGCCTGAAAATCCCAAGAAATAAAGATTCAGATGTCATGAAGTTGGAGAGAATCAAGACAAGTAAACATAGTAGCAACTTAAGGGACAAAATAAAAGAAAGCTCCTACCTCCTTGTCCCAATCACACCGAATGGTAATAATGGCCAGTATCACAGTCTGAACTGCTGTCCCACCAAAGATCATTCCAGCCCAAATTCCCTAAAAACAACATACGGTATATACATCTATAACAGGATGATTATAATGAAAAGGATCATCAAGCCATAACTACAGATTGTTCAGAATCTCAATTTTCTCATAGTCGGATTTTTTCAAATAGTGCTCAAATGACAAATGGGAAGTTATTTTAATGAAAATTAGGAGTAATATTTTTCCTATGTAATCTTATTTGACTGATTTCATAGTCATTATATATATTTTATTATATATATTTTATGTAAATTTGACAATTTTTATATTTGTATCAAACATATATAAAACATGAAAATTTTTGTATAACAACCAGACACAAAACATATTTTTAGTTTATTAAATCTATATTTGATTTTGATTAATATTTTAAATTATACCATTTTCATTTTATTATCATTTTTTATCTTATCATCATTTTATATTTAAAATTATCAAATCTAAATTTAACTCTTTAAAAAATCATAATTAATAGAATCATGATAAATATGTGCTTAATTACCTTTACTCCTAGGTGGAAGCCCCATCCCATCAAGATTCCGAGTGGAACCCCAATCAGATAGTAGCAACCCAAATTTATGTAAGCCACATAGGATTGCCACCCAGATCCCACTGCAACCCCTACAAATATAAAAGACCAAAATTAATGTAAAAATTTATTAAATCCTTCATAATTACTTAAATGAACTAACATATGAAGAAGATAAGAAATGATTTAATAGTTTACCAGATAGAATTGGTTGAACACTATTGAGCAGAATGGAGAAGGCCAAGAGAAGTGAGAGGTTGTTTACTGCTTTCAAAACTGGTTCACTTGTGGAAAATATAAGAGCAATCTTATCATGAAAAATCATAATCAACGTCCAAAAGAAGATGCCAATTATAACTGATGTCACCACTGAAATTGTTGTTGCAAACTTAGCTCCTTTCCCATTCCCAGCTCCAAGCTCATTCGCCACCCTCACTCTGCATCCGATTGTATCATATATCTTAAACATGACCAATTCAAATGTCACATTTATTTTTATAATAATCCAATAACTAGAAAGTTTGATCTCTTTCAAATGTTTCCTATTTTTTCCATGCAATTGATCCAATTAATTTCTTTCCAAAAGGATGTAGCATTTTGTTGCTGATTTATGTTTTTCTAATTCTTGCACTTGCTTTAATTTCCATATTCACTAAATTAAAGGAAAGCAAACTAATTCAATACAGTGATGATATCATTTGCTTATTGAATTGGATATTTCAACTTTTGAACAGATATTTAATTTAAATAAAAAACGATACGCAATGCTCAACTCACAATGATTGGGTTATTAATGTTCTGCAATTGATAATCTATTTTAGTTTAATTCTTGATCATAGTTTTTTTTTCAATATGCCTTAAGGTAAGATCCATAAGGATTGATTCAAATTTCATAAAATATTTGGATATAAATTTATTCGAGATGGGATTGGTTAGATATTATTTGATAGATAAGAAGATTTGCACAAAAAGAATTCTAAGAGAAAAGGAATTTTTTATAGTCAAGTTACTATGCTTATAAATAAGTGGAGTCTTCATAAGATTAAGTATGAAAAAAAGATGTAAGAGAGTTGTAAGATTTTATTTAGTACCACCTTATAAGACTATAAGAGATTGAGAAAGTGATTATGGGTGTGTATGTTTGAGTAGATTACAGGAGAATGAGAAGGTTCACAAAGATATGGTGTATGGATGTATATGGGTATATATTTTTTTAGGTTGAGAATACTTTATAGGACTAAAAGAAAATGAGATTGTCCATGGGTATTGATTGTGAGTGTTGATTGATATGATTTGTATGTTTGTAATTCTTTACAACTAATAGATCATTTTTTTCATCCATGGATGTAGCTTATTTGGGCTAAATTATGTTAAATTATTATCTTTTGTGTGGATTTGGTTATGCTTTTACTAGCTTCGTTATTTAATTGGATTGGAAACTTTTTAGCCTAACAACTAAAATCAGAGTTATCTTGATTCTAACAATGGGTATGAAAGCTAAGTTGGAATCTTGTAGATAGGATTTCTAATAACTGGTATTAGAGCGAATGTTCAAGATATGAGAAGAGGCAAATTCAGAAGAGCTCAATTCAAAAAGGAGTTCTAGTTCATGTGTTGAGAAATCAATTTACGTAAAATGAGAAAACACACAAAGAGAAGATGATTGTGAAACTTTTATTGTAGGTGGAGCCAAGCATGTTTAACATGAAAAATAAAGATTTGATGAAATTTGAGTCAAGGTGAAGATTGTTAGGATTGACTCAAATTTCATAAGAGATTTGAATAGAGATTTATTGGAGATGGGATTGGGTAGATATTATTTAATGGATAAGAAAACTTATAAAAGAAGAATTCTAAGAGAAAAAAATTTTTGATAGTCAAGTTAGTATGTTTATAACTAGGTGAAGTCTCCATAAGGTTAGATATAAGAAAAATATTAAGAGAGTTGTAGAGTTTTATTAAATAGCCATCCTATAAGATTAAAGAAGATTTAGAAAGTCATTATGGGTGTGTATATTTAAATGGACGAGAGAAAAATAAGAGGATTCATGGGTACTGATTATAAGTGTTGATTGATATGATTTGTATATTTATAATTCTCTACAACTAGTGAATCTTTTTTTTTTTTTTCATTCATGGAAGTAGGCTAATTTAGGTGAATCACATTAAATTATTATCTCTTTTGGTTATGCTTCCACTAACTTAATTATTTAATTGTATTCAAGATTTTTTAGCCTAACAACTAAAATTAGAACTATTGTGATCCTAACAACTAGTATCAAAGCTAGGTTGAAATTTTATGAATAGGATTCCTAACAATTGGTATCAGAGTGAAGGTTCGAAATATAGGAAGAGACAAGCTTAGAGGAGCTCGATTCAATGAAGAGTTCGAATTCATGTATTGAGAGATCAATTTATATGAAGTGAGAAAACTCATAAAGAGAACATTGCGAGACTTCCATTATGGGTAGTGCTAAGTATGTCTAGCATGAAAAATGATAATTTGATGGAATTAGAGTCATTGTTGGGATTGATTCAAATCTCATAAAAGATTTGGATAGAGATTTATTTGAGATGGGATTGGCTAGTTATTTTTTAATAGATAAGAAGACTTGCAAAAGAAAAATTTTAAGAAGAAATGGATTCTTGATAGTTAAGTTAGTATGCTTATAAATAGGTAAAATCTCTATAAGGTTAAATATAAGAAAAAAATGTAAGAAAATTGTAAGATTTTATTAGATAGCCATCTTATAAAATTAGAAGAGATTGAAAAAGTCATTATGAGTGTGTATGTTTGAGTAAACTATAGGAGAATGAGATGGTATACATAAGTATGATGCATAAGTGCACATATGAGTGTATTTATTTGGGTTGAAAATACTCTATAAGATTAGAACAAAATGAGAAAGTCAATAAGTATTGATTATCAGTGTTGATTGATATGATTTATATATTTATAATTCTTTATAACTAGTAGATCTTTTTTTTCTTTTATGAAAGTTTGTCGGGCTAGACCATATTAAATTATTATCTCTTATATGGATTTGGTTATACTTCTACTAACTTGATTGTTTAATTGGATTGAGGGTTATTTTTAGAAAGGCTAATGATGAAAAGAAGTTAGATGAAGGGAATGGTGACACTATAGCTACTATGTTTGATGATGGTCTCTTTTGACGACTTGTGTGAAGGAGACTCTAACTTTGAAAGTTGATAAAAGTTGTGTTTTAAATTTAGCTGTTTCTATCCATGTCTACAATTATAGGAATTGCTTTATGGAATTGAAAGAGAATGAGAAGTATAGGGATACTGTGGTTGCCAACAATGAAAAAGTACAGATTCGAGGCATTGAGAGTGTTTGCCTTAGATGTCACAATGTTGTTGTTAAGACTCTTTGTCATGTAAAGTATGTACTGAGTTCTAACTACAATTTAATTACCTTGGGTGAGTTAGCTTTTTATGGGTATGCATACTATAGACAAAATGATTAGTGTAAAGTGTATAAGAATGGTAGTGCGGTTTTGTAAAAAACAATAGGATCAAAAATCATTTGTACATGCTTGATAGAAGCTTAGTTATTGGGATTCCTACGATGAAGGAAAAGAAGACGGGCAAACATGTTAGCTTTGTAGATGCCATTAAAGTGTTTGAAAATTCAAGTTAATAAAGGATTTGTTGAGGTTTGCCTTAAATCTAATCCCACATTTAAAGTTGAGTGAAGTTATAAGAGTTGAGAGTTTATCTTGTGTCTTATATTAGAAGTTTAATAAAGTTATAAGGGGTTTTATCCTTACAAATAAGATTATTTGGTTTTAATTTGATAATCCCTAATAGTTAGATGCTAAAAAAATAGCTAAGTGAGTTGGTTATTAAAAATGTATAATTGGACTTTGGATTAAATTATTAAAAAAGTATAATTAAATTTTGGATTAAATTTTGAGTAAAGAATTTATGTTTTTTTTTCAAAAATTTCACAATTGTAAAATTTTTTTTTATTAATAAATTAAATTTGGAGTAAGTCATTTTAAATCGAGTCAACCCAAATATATTTATATATTTTTATTTTTATTTTGAGCTTGTTTTATTATTTATATGTATGGGTGCCACAAATATTTGTTTGTTCCCTACAAGATTGTCCTACCAAAGATTTTGGCCTTGCTTTTGTTCTACCTTTATCATCAATGTCAAACAAAATACTTTTAACGTGGGATAAAAAAAGTAACTAACTATTGAAAAACAAGATAAGCAAGATTGAGTTGGCATTGGTGTGACAATTATATAGCTACATCATCCGGCAATTTAGACCTTTCCAATATTAAAATCTAATTATACTATAAAAGAGGTTACAATCTAAAATTAAAAGAAAATATTGTAAGTATTGAAATTTGAATGATTTATATTTTTAAAAGTAATTAAATAAATTAATTGAATTAAATTATAAATTTTATTTATATATTATTCATAATTTTAATTAAATATTTTTATTTTATCAGACACAAAAAAAATACAATTTCAACCAAAAAATATTAACTTGAATCGTGACTCAAGATTTACTGTACAAACTTTTTGTTCATCATTTAGAAATAGTGTCAATTTATCATAATATTTATTCGAATGACGTACAATAAATGAAGGAAAACGAAACTACTCGAAAATTTTGATGATCATTCCTAATCATTCTGACAGGTATTGACAGCCAAAAGGCTAGCTTACATAAACCATGTATGATATAGATATCTATTTGCCCACATGTTATCCTATGGCTAAGCATTAGCCTTTGATCGAAAAATGCAACGAAAAGGCAAGGGCTCCACCAAAACTTGGTTCATTAACTTTATAAAAACACAGGAAATTGCTGGCCTCAGGAAAATGAGAGGTCTTACCCGGTTCCAGCAAAGAATGCGAAAGGTATCATCAGTTCCCATCCATTAATCGACATGCTGCCAAAATAGGCCAATGAAAAGGGTCCACAAATTGAACAAACAGATTGATTAGCACACAAATAAAAAGATAATTATAAAAAGTTCCTATAAATAATTATAAAGCATTCCTATAAATACTAAAAACTGCTTTGTTATACCTATGTAAATGAACGGTTTTGTCGTTTTATTTGACAAATAATCTGTCCAAATATAATTATATACGTATGTTCAAGACTCATACCATATGGACAAAGCATCCACGGCAATCTTTGCGTTTTTCAGATTCCCAGTCATTAAAATTAATATTCTATAGTACCAGTTCTCCAAGCTGTAGATTTTAAAATGTTCATGGAATCGTTAGATGAACAAACCAAAAGGAAATAAAACAAACATATGATTCAGGTAATGCTATAGTTAGGGTCAATGGAATTGGCTTTTGAGAAAAAATAAAAGAGAGAGAGAAGGGGGGGGGGGGGGGGGATAGTACGTACCAAAGCATGACCCCAGAAGCAGTAGAGAGTTTGATGAATTCCCAAAGGCCAGAAAATGCTTCCATGGAGAAGCCAGTCCAAGTAAAAGGGCACCCACCACAAACAGTATAGGCAAAAAGGCCGAAAACCAAAATCCACCAAGAAAAGTTCAAGGTAATCGCAGTTCCAACAAGTCCAAGCTGAAGCCTATACACAAACAGCCAACTAACCAACACATGGACCAAGAGAGCCACCAGGGAAACCCATGCAATCACCATGTTTTTCAACTGACTCTGCAAGAATCTCTGCAGAGGAAACTGAAATGCAAAGCTGAAATGAAGTGGTATCATCGACATAGAAACAATCCCTGATAGCTCTGCAATGTCTTTAGGCTGTCCCAATAGCTTCAAGACTGGGGAAGCAAGGAGATATAAAGGCAAAAGCAAAATACAACACAGGAAAAGAACAATCCATGAACGTTGCATGTATACTCCCAACATGTAGTACTTCTTTGCTCCAAAGGCTTGGCCGCATAGTGTTTCAAGTGCACTAGCCATGCCCAACTAATAACAAAGACCCAAGAAGAACGTTAGACAAATTTTCTTTAAAAGAACCAAATAATCAACCATATAGATAAGAGTAATGAGATCTACCAAGAGGCCAATGTCAAAACCGACGATGACATTATTTGCAATGGACATTGCAGCAAGCTCAAGATCACCAAGGTGGCCTGCAAAGGCTTGAGTGATAACCAGCATGGAGTAAGAGGCTAGGCGGCTAAAGACGGCAGGACCAACTATCTGCCATAGCTTCTTTGATTCAATCCATACCCTTTTCATAAGAGATTGATTTTGATCGTCTTGTTCTGCTTTCAATCGCTCTGCTGAAGCTAAATCTTCAATCAAAGGAACCCTTGCTTCTTCTAATGCACCATTACTCGACATATTATCTGGCTAGCTAGTGGTCTGCCGACTCTATCCTTTTTCTTGGGAGTTCAATGAACTTAAAACACTTGATGCCCCGTTGCCTTTTTGACGAATATATACACTACGGGAAATACTTAAATCAAGTTTTTTTAAACGAAATTTGTGACTTTTTTTATTAGAAATTATTAAATAAAAATAAAAATTAAAACTTAAAATCAATAAATTAAAATATTTAATTATATAAATTAAGTGTGTAAAATTTAAAATTTTTTTGATATATATAAATATTTTTAGATAGATATTTTTAATAAAAATATTGATAAAACTTTTTATCATTGAATAAGTATCGATCAAATTTGAATTATAAATAATATTTTTTATATTTTTTATATATTATTGATCTCCACATTAAATTATATCAATTTATCAATTTGAATTTTATGGTTAATTAATACTCATAAAATTTGTTGAGTTTAATTTTTATTATAAAATTTTTTTTTGTTAATTAAATTATTATAAAATTTAATTTTTTGTTATAAATTTGTTGAAATTTGTTAGGGTTTTTGTTACCAATGTGTTGAGTTTTTGTTAGTTATTTATTTGTTAAAATTTATTTGGGTTTTGGTTACCAATTTGTTAAGTTTTTGTTAATTTTATATTTGTTGAAATTTGTTTAGGTTTTGATTATATATTTTTCGAAATTTGTTGGTTATATATTTTTATTGGATTTTTTGTTAAGTATTAATGTTGAGTCTTGTTAATTTTTGTTTGGATTTATTTTTAGTATTAGTGGGGAATTTTTTTTATTTGTTGAGTTATTTGTTTTTTATTTGTGAAAGTTTTGTTGAGATTTGTTGGGTTTTTTTTTAATAGATTTATTAACTTTTAGAAGTGTAAGATTTAGGGTTGGTTAATTTGGGTTTGATGTGTATTAAGATTTATATATATTTGTATAGATGTTTTATGTTTAATATTTTCTAGATTTTAATAATAATTATAGAAATGAAAATTATTTATGTTGATTTGATATTATAATTTATATATTACAAATAGCTATCTCATTTTGTAATAGTTTATATATTATTAAGATTTATATTTGTTTTGAAATAATTTATGTATTTGATAGTTTAGTGAAATTTTTATATTAGTAATTATTGAAATATTATGGTTTTATTGTATTGATCAAATTTAATATAAATAAATTAAATTGCTATATTTTATTCTTTTTTTTCATAATCTATATGTGAATATGTGTTATGAAAATGGGTTTAGGTGGATGTATATTCTATAATGAACATGATTTTTTTATTCATTTTCATCATACTAACTTGTTTTATTTTTCCATTTCAACTATTTTGAAAGTAGAAAAAGTTTTGTACACAAAAAATGTCTTGATCAAAGAAAATCTTTGCAAAATCGATGAAATTGTACTAATAAGGCCAAGATCGAAGGTAAAATTCTTTCATTAAAACTAATAATATTTTTTTGTGAATGTATTGTATTGTAGCATGTATGATAAATTTTTGCAAGATCTTTTGTGCTATTGATGGATTATTTGTTAAAGTAGATCAATAGTTACCTCATATTATCATTTAGATAATTTTATTTAGTATAGCAATAATAGCTTATATGGTCAATCAATAGAAAGGTTTAACACTTAATATGACTTTAAAATTACTCATATTTCAATTTAATTAGGGTTCAATAATAGACAAAAATTGCTCTTGAATGTACTATCGTTTAGATGTTAATGGATATATTACTCAAAACTATTGTGATGGTGTGGAGGAATTTATTAGATATACTTATTCTCAACCAAACTTTATTAGTAATGAGAAGATTATGTGTCCTTGTGCCAAATGTGAGAATAAAAGATTTTTAAAAGCAAATGCTGTGCGTATGCACCTTTATTATAAAAAGGGTTTACAAAAGGTTATACAAGTTGGGTCTCACATGGGGAGTTAGAAGTAAGATAAACTTATTCAATAAATAGAGATACATTTGAACCGACAGAGAAAATGAGAATAGAAAATTTTTATAATAGAATGGTTATGGATGCTGTATATCTTGATTTTTGGGTAGACGTGACAAGAGAATTCGGTATGAATGCCAATAAGGTAAGATAACCATCCACAGAAAAGCCAAATGTAGAAGTGACAAGCTTCTATTCTTTATTGAATAATGCAAATGAACCGTTGTGGTTATTTATATGAAACACATAATCCTCTCTGTGAGTGGACTAGAAGAGACTGAGAGGGTCCATATAGGTATGATATATGGGTGCATATAGATATATGTTTGATTGTGTTGAAAGGGTGCACATGGGTATGTATTTGTTTGGGTTAAGAATACTTTATAGGATTAGAAGAGATTGAGAATATCTATGGGTATTGATTATTAAGATTGATTTGATGTATGTTTGAATTCTCTACAATTAGTGAATTTCATTTTTCATTTGTGAACGTACGTTAATTAGATCGAATCACATAAATTACTATCTCTTATGTGATTGATTGATTGTTCAATTTTACTTTCGCTGGCTTGATTGATTGGAGGCCATTTGGCCTAACAAGTAGTATCAAAGTATGGTTCGAGACATGAGAAGAGGTAAGCTTAGAGGAGCTCGATTCAAGAAAGAAGTTCGAGTTCATGTTTTAAAGATTAGTTTGTATAAAGCATAAAGGCACACAAGAGAAAATGATTACGAAATTTTTATTACAGGTAGAGCCAAACATGTCTAGCATGGAGACAGATGATTAATAAAATTTGAGTTAAGGTAGAGATTGTTAGGAATAATGACTCAAATCTCATAAGAGATTTGTTTGAGATTTGTTAGATATTACTTTATGGACAAGAAGACTTGCAGAAGAAAAATTCTAAAAGAAAAAAATTCTTAATAGGCAAGTTTAACTTACAAAAGAAGAATTCTAAGAGGAGAGAGATTTTTAATAGATAAATTTGTATGGTTATAAATAGCTGAAGTCTCTACAGGGTTAAGTATGAGAAAAAGATGTAAAAGAGTTATAGAATTTTATGAGATAAACACCCTATGGAGTACTGAGACTTTACGTCTTATAGGTGTGTATGTTTGTTTATGAGTGGACTAGAGAAGACTGAGAGGGTCCACATAGGTATAATTTATGGGTGCATATGGGTATGTATTTGGTTATATTGAAAAGGTACACATGAATATGTATTTGTTTGGATTGAGGATATTTCACAGGATTAGAGGAGATTGAGAGGGTCTATGAGTATTGATTATTAAGTAAGATTGATTTTATGTATGTTTGTAAATCTCTATAACTAGTGGATCTTATTTTTCATTCATGAACGTATGTTAATTAGATCGAACTACGTTAAATTACTATCTCTTGTATGATTGATTGATTGTTCGATTTTACTTCCGCTGGTTTGATTGATTGGAGGTCATTTGGCCCAACAGGAATTTAGACTTGGTTATAAGAAATTTCATGTTTGTGAAAATAATTGCATGTTTTTTTTTTAAGAAAGAGCCAAAATTGACATATTATTATGTTTGTGGGCATCCTCGATATATAAAAAATAAGTCTAGTGGTTAGACAAAAAAAATTTCTTATCAATATTTTGTTGTATGCCATTGTTATTGACACTTCAAAGACTTTATATGTCAACTAAAACTGTTGAATATATAACATAGCATGCCTATAACCAAAGTCATGATGGTGTGCTTCAACATCCTATTAATGGTGATGCTTATAAACATTTCAATCACAGCCATAAATTAATTGTACTAGAAATGTGAAATGTATGATTAGGATTATATGTTGATGTTTTTATCCGTTTGGTCTGAGTGTGAACCATACTCTTGTTAGCAAGTAATGATAGTTCTCGTAATGATTTTTTGTACTGCTAGGCGAATTTAAAAACAAAAGGAAGTCGCCACCAATATTTTTTGGATAGGTGTAATTATCACCTATTAAAACTTATCTTTTTAATAAAATTTTAAAATTAATTAAAACTTTATAAAAAAGATAATTTTTTAGGTCTGTGAAAACAGTTTGGTTCGAGAATTGGTTACGTGTGAAAAAGGATTAGCATCCTCATAACTCTCATTTAAAATGGTACCAATTAATTATGTGTTTTCTTTCAATTGAGACAAAAATGGTCCTAATTTTGTATTTAAAATTTAATATTATAATTTTTATTGTAAAAAAACAATTTTATTTTATCATTTTCTTTTAATATTTTTTATTTTTGAAAAATAAATAAGAACCTTGCATATTAAAAATTTTTTGAAAATATTCTAATATTTGGATAATATTTTTAGAAACTTTCTCACCTAAGGAATTCTTAAGAATCTCTACTTGAAATTTTCAAAAATTTTATCATCGACGGTTCATATTTATCATCAAATTTTATATATAAAAAACATAACGTATAATATCTATAATTTAAAATCAAATAATATTTTCTAAAAATTCATTTCTTAAAGAAATGAGAAATCTTGATAAAAAATTATTCTAAATACTCTATTACATTAGTGACATTTTAGAGAAATTTTATAATCTAGAAATTTTTGAAGAATCACTACTCAGACTTCTTTAAGATCTCATTCTTGAAGATTTTATTTACTTTTATAATTAGTATAAAAAAATAATAATGCACATGGATTAATTTGTGATGCTACTGCATGGAAATTCATTTTTTAGAAATGAAAACTAAATGAAAATTTTTTGCGTATTGAGAATCATTTTAAATATTCCAATTATTTGACAATATTTTTAAAAAAATTTTCTCACCTAAGGAATTCTTGGGAATTACTATTTAGATTTCTTAAAATTTCATCATAAAAAGTTCTTATTAATTTTATTTTTTTAAAATTATATATAGATTTATTTCTTAAGAAAATACAAACTCTTATAACCATAATGTATTTTTATTTCTAAAAAAAAAATTAAGGAAAAATAAAAATTTTCTTATTGAAAAGAGTTTTTATATATTTTGATACTTTGGTAATTTTTAGAAATATTTTCTCGTATAAAAATTCTCAAGAATCACTACTCGGACTTTCTAGAGTCCTATCATCGAAAGATTCGTAATAATTTTTTTG